CAATAAGGGGGAGCCTTGAGGGGAGCCATGCTGCCTTCCCTGGTGGTCGAGTGGTGAGAGTGAACTCTAACCTGCTGGTTAGAGTTCACTCTCGCGAGATCTGAGCGTTGCCGTGGTAACTGCGGCAACGCTCAGAATCCCGCAAGAGGACCCAGCGGAGCTGCTGGTTAGAGCTCCGCCGGTCCTCTCTCCTGCCTCCCTCCTTCCCCAGCCGACAGCCGCATCTCCATGCCTCTGGGCCGGTAAGGGAGATCTTTGATCTCCCCACCGGCCCACGAAGGCATACAGCAGGGCCGGCGCTCGGATAGCGCTGGCCCTACAGGGGCTGGCAGGGGAGATCCCCTGCCGGCCTCGGCCCCGCGGCCCACCGGGCATTTGCCCGGTATGCCCGATGGCCAGTCCGGGCCTGATTGTAGATGATTGTCTATGTACATATCTGACTGTGTATCTTACGGTTTGCCTATATATGTATGTAACTGTGTGTAGTTGTGTATCTGTGTGTGGTTTAAGCCTCCCAAGTGTTGAGCAGTTCCGTTTTAGGAATCCTGTCCCACCATCCTGATGTCCCAGGACAGAAGAGCACAAGCAATTTATTAAACACAGTCGTGCAGTGTGGTGGGCTCTAGGACCATGCAAGAGAGCTTTTTAGAAGCGGTCTCAGCCTAGTCCTGTAGACTTGGGGTCTACCAAACAAGCTATCACCCTGTTTTCCTGGCATAACTGCCCATTATGGACATTGCCATTGTTGCAAGTCTCGATACTGGCAACATACCGCTCTGCCCTCAACATCCTCATCCCGAATGGGAGGTATGTATGGTTGTCTATGTAAGTATATATATATATATATATATATATATATATATACTGTGATCCTTGTCTGCAGGTAGCACGGTCCTCTAGGGTAAACAACAGGCACAGTCCTTTTATTTGCATATAACCCAGGCACTTTATTTGTAAGTCCACACAGGAGACAGCAGCAAATGAAAACATAAATATAACACAAATCCCTATAAACAAAAACCTAGCTCGTCTGAGCACTTACTAACTTCAGGTTCCCTATCTCTCAGGGGTTAAACTAGAACAAAACAATATTGGTTTCACCAACCTAGTGTCTTTGTCAGCTCTCTGCACTCCAGTGCTTAGTCAGCCTGTTGCTTTCATTTCTACACTCCCAGTGCTCCAAGCCAGCCTTAACTGCTTTCCTTTCTGCACTCCCAGTGCTCCAAGCCAGCCTTGACTGCTTTCCTTTTGCACTCCCAGTGCTCAGTCTCCTTGACTGTCTCACTGGAGAGAACAGCTTCTCTCCTACCTGCTTCCATGGAGGAAGCCAGCAATCTCCCTTTACCTGCCTAGCAGGGAGGGGTTTATTCCCACTGCTACAGCTTATTATCTGCAGCTGAGCAATGGGTTGGAGACAGTTCCAAAAAACTCTGGCCTGGACCTTATTTCTCCCAGTTGTGTATAAACTGAGGAGTGGAGCATTGGCCCACCCTGCTCTCCAAATGCTCCACCCCAGGGGCCCATAACTAAACGTTGTGTTGCACACCACACATACAATACTTACTTCCCCTGGGGTTAAATGTTAAAGGCCTCTCTGCCTTCACTTTATCACAATACATATACAGTATCTCACAAGAGTGAGTACACCCCTCACATTTTTGTAAATATTTTATTATATCTTTTCATGTGACAACACTGAAGAAATGACACTCTGCTACAATGTAAAGTAGTGTACAGCCTGTATAACAGTGTAAATGTGCTGTCCCCTCAAAATAACTCAACACACAGCCATTAATGTCTAAACCATTGGCAACAAAAGTGAGTACACCCCTAAATGGAAATGTCCTAATTGGGCCCAAAGTTTCAATATTTTGTGTGGCCACCATTATTTTCCAACACCTTAACCTTCATGGGCATGGAGTTCACCAGAGCTTCAAAGGTTGCCACTTGAGTCCTCTTCCACTCCTCCATGATGACATCACGGAGCTGGTGGATGTTAGAGACCTGGCGCTCCCCCACCTTCTGTTTGAGGATGCCCCACAGATGCTCAATAGGGTTTAGGTCTGGAGACATGATTGGCCAGTCCATCACCTTTCTTGGAGGTGTGTTTGGGTCGTTATCATGTTGGAATACTGCCCTGCGGCCCAGTCTCCGAAGGGATGGGATCATGCTCTGCTTCAGTATGTCACAGTACATGTTGGCATTCATGGTTCCCTCAATGAACTGTAGCTCCCCAGTGCCGGCAGCACTCATGCAGACCCAGACCATGACACTCCCACCGCCATGCTTGACTGTCGGCAAGACACACTTGTCTTTGTACTCCTCACCTTGTTGACGCCACACATGCTTGATACCATCTAAACCAAATAAGTTTATCTTGGTCTCATCGAACCACAGGACATGGTTCCAGTAATCCATGTCCTTAGTCTGCTTGTCTTCAGCAAACTGTTTGCGGGCTTTCTTGTGCATCATCTCTAGAAGAGGCTTCCTTCTGGGACGACAGCCATGCAGACCAATTTGATGCAGTGTGTGGCATATGGTCTTAGCACTGACAGGCTGACCCCTCATCCCTTTAACCTCTGCAGCAATGCTGGCACCACTCATACCTCTGCATGTGACGCTGAGCACGTGCACTCAACTTCTTTGGTCGACCATGACGAGGCCTGTTCTGAGTGGACCCTGTCCTGTGAAACCACTGTATGTTCTTGCCCACCATGCTGCAGCTCAGTTTCAGGGTCTTGGCATCCTTTGGCACTCCAGATGTTTTGGACTACATCTCCCATGATGCTTTGCCAGCATTATGGGTGTAAGAGCATTATGGGGGATGTAGTCCACAACATCTGGGGTGCCGAAGGTTGCCTACCCCTGGCCTGGGCCATCTTTATCTAGAGCAAGTATTTTTTTTTCAGATCCTCAGAGAGTTCTTTGCCATGAGGTGCCATGTTGAACTTCCAGTGACCAGTATGAGAGAGTGTGAGAGCGATAACACCAAATTTAACGCACCTGCTCCCCATTAACACCTGAGACCTTGTAACACCAATTTGGACATTTCCACTTAGGGGTGTATATGTGACTCTCTGTATTATTGTGTGTGTGCCTATGCACACTGATGACTGTGTGCGATTACCTGTGTATGTTTGTTTCTGAAAGTATGTGTGATTGTTTTTCTATGTACTGTACATTTCAAAATATGTGTGGTTTCTTTTTATGCATTTGACTGACTGTTTATCTATATGTCTATCTGTGTACATATGAATATTTCTAGATAAATGGCAAGTTATAAATATTAAATGTGAGGCTGGTAACGTATATGAGGAGAGAGTGTACAGCCTTGACTGGCATTGAGCAGCCAAAGCACTAAACAGAGGCGGCTCTAGACTTTATGAGGCCTTAGCCGAAACTCAAACAAAGTGAAAAAAATTGAGTTGCAATACATGCACACATATACACATGGATGCACTGTCTACCTGTGTATGTGCCTGAGAATGAGTGTCTGACAGAGAGTATCCTTGTGTGTGTGAATGTATGTCTCTGTGAGCATGTTTGCATTTTTGTCTGGGACCGTATGTGTATGGTGTAGCTGCTTGAAGTGTGTTGTGTGTATGGGGGGTCTGCCTGTGGCCTTTGTGCATTGTGTTTATGGCAAAGCTATGTTTCCTGACTGTGTGTGTGTGTGATGAATGTCTTCAATTGGTGACTGTGACAAGGTGAGTAAAGGGGTACCAGTGGCATGGAGAGCGTGACAGGGCAAAGGGGGTAAATGGCACAGGGTGAGGTGTGGGGGGTTGTGAGAGAGAATGAGGGACAGGGATTATGACATGGTTTGATGAGGGAGTGTGACAGTGCGAGTGAAGGTAAGTGTGTCAGGGCAATTGTGACATGGTAGGAGGGAGGAGTGTGACAGGATTAAGGTGGGTTAATGTGACAGGGTGAGTGTGGCAGAGTGAAGGCAGGTGAGTTTGGAAGGGGTGAGATTAACAGGATTAGAAGTGGCTAATGTGAGTGTGGATGCAGGAAGATGCTGACAGTGTGGGGGGTGACGACAGTGTAGGGAGGGGTGACAATGTGTGGGGAGGTGATAGTGTGAGGGGATGCTAACAGTGTGTCTTGGAAGCCTGACAGTGTGTGGGAGTATGGTGAAATAACATTGTTGTGGGTGACAGTGTGTAGCGGGCATGACAGTGTGTGAGGGGGGTGGTGTGAGGGAGGGAGTGATGGTGAGAGGGAGAAGGAGTGATGGTGAGAGGGAGAGGGGGTGATGGTTAGAGGGAGTGATGGTGAGAGGAGGGTGATGGTGAGAGGGGGTGATGGTGAGAGAGAGGGGGAGTGATGGTGAGGGGGATGATGGTGAGAGGGGGTGATGATCAGAGAGAGGGAGGTGATGGTGAGAGAGAGGGGGAGTGATGTGGAGAGGAGGGTGATGGTGAGAGGGGGGTGATGGTAAAAGGGAAAGGAGGGTGATGCGTAGAGGGTTAAGGGGGTGATTGGGAGAGGGGGTGATGGTAAGAGGGAGAGGGGGGTGATGGTAAGAGGGAGAGAGGGGTGATGGTGAGAGGGAGAGTGGGACTAAATACCTTTTTTTTATTCCCTGGTAATCCAGTGGGCTCCCTGGTGGTCCGGTGGTGATATCAGGTTTGCAGCTCTGCAGACCATGTGTCTCGCGATTCCCGTCAGAGCGTTGCTGTGGTAACCGCGGCAATGCTCAGATTGGCCAGATCTCGCTAGACACATGGTGTACAGCTCTGCACACTGCGGAGCTCTAGACCAGTGTCTGCGAATGGGCGCTCTTCGTCCGGGCTGGGCAGACAGGAGCGGCCTTGCACCCGGCAGCATAATGAGCAAGCTGCCGGGCCCCCTCCTGGTGTTGGGTCCTTGACACAGCCAGCGCGAGGCCTTAGGCGGCCCCTAAACATTAGAGGGCCGCCTCAGACACTAAATATATAACTGGGCACCACAGTAGCTTCAGAACCAGGGAAGACATGCAGAGAAAACACATTGATGCTGGATAATTATTTTATTTTTATTCTTATTTATTTTTTCTCATAACTCATTTCATGCATTGTCAATATAGCACTTTATAGAAAGAAAAGTGGGACTTAATCCACTGTGGAATGTCTAAAAACAAAAAACAATAATGCGATTTAAAACAGATTATTGCCTCTCCTATATCTGGTAGATACATCAGTCTTGTTTTGAGCTCTGGCCATTTTTCCTCTTTTGTTGTAGAGAATCCTGTATATTAAAGGACCACTATAGGCACCCAGACCACTTCAGCTTAATGAGGTGGTCTGGGTGCCTGGTCCATCTAGGGTTAACCCTTTTTTCTATAAACATAGCAGTTTCTCTGACAGTGAGTTAAGAACAATGAGTTAGGGTTAATCCAGCCTCTAGTGGCTGTCTCATTGACAGCCGCTAGAGGTGCTTCCGCGTTTCTCACTGTGAAAATCACAGTGAGAAGACGCCAGCGTCCATAGGAAAGCATTGTGAATGCTTTCCTATGGACTGGCTGAATGCGCGCGCGGCTCCTGCCGCGCATGCGCATTCAGCCGAAGACGAGGAGAAGAGGGAGGAGAGGATGAGGAGAGCTCCCCGCCCGGCACTGGAGAAAGAGGTAAGTTTAACCCCTTCCTCTCCATCTAGCCCGGCAGGAGGGGGACCCTGAGGTTGGGGGCACCCTCAGGGCACTATAGTGCCAGGAAAACGAGTATGTTTTCCTGGCACTATAGTGGTCCTTTAAGGACTTCGTCGGCCAATCCTTCAGCAAAATACAGTTTTCTGTCTGCTCTAAAACTAATGTCACTGCAAAATATTCCGCAGGTGCTTTTTGGTATTTTTAATTTAGTGCAAAAACTCAATACGCCATAGATACTTTTTACAGATACTTTCAAATTAAGCTTAATATTGGGCTGCAGAATTCTGCATTACTTTATATTAAGCATTTTATATTTTCCTTTAAGCATGGATTTACAGATTTTATTTTTTCTACTATTTATTTTTTTGTCATAGGTTTACAATTTTTACCTGAAATACAAGGAATAACACACAGGGTAATTCACTAAATTGTGAATTATCAGGAATTCCAAGTGAATCCAAAATAAATTTTAAAATGTAAGCCAAAATTGCTGAGATGAAAGCATTGCTGCTATTTTTCTATTTCAACATTTTTGGCTCTAAAAAAAAAAATTTACTTTGAATTCACTTAGAATTTCTAAAAATTCTTACTACAGCGAAAAACCCTAGTTTAAAGAAATATATAATACACAAAACTTAGGTTATTGCACAAAAAGAAGAGAGTCCTTTAAAATAGCTCCAGAGATCTTCAATTTTGTCTTCGTTCATAAGCTTGTAATTTCTTGGTGACTTCATCTAGTAAATTGGAGTTAAGGTAAAAAGAGTCCGTTGGAAGTTAAAGTTCATCTTCAACACACTCAATGATCAATGGGAATAAATAAATGTTTAATCAATATTATATGAATAAACAACTGCGACATCAAAAAATATATAAAATCAAGTATAGCTGGAATGTTTTGTAGCTTTGTGGTGTCATGTTGGCGGGTTATACCATTTTGTTTTTAGAATCTATAATATATTTCTTCAAATCAGGTAAAAAATTATAAAGTGCAGATTCCTTTGATTTCACAGTGCCGATACTGAACTTTAAATCAGCCTTGTTCCTTTCATTTGGGTTCTTCTGCTACAATAAGTTTTATCCTGACTCTTGGTTGGACCGCTAAAGCACAGTGAAATCTATAAACTTTTCTGTTTCTGATTAACTTCCGTGGCAGAGGAGAGCTCCCATTAATTTATATTAGATAAAATCACATTTCCCATTAATTTATATTAAGTAAAATCAGCAAGATCAACTTAGCCTGTTTACCATCATGGAAATAGTAACAAAAAAAAATATGGGATATTTTATGTAGATATATAAATCAGATATAAATATGTCGTATCTAATATAGATGTCCTTGTTACTTGTTATTGAACAGCAGAGATGGGGGGGGATATCAAATTCTAATTAGCTTGAAATATTTTTCTTGTAGTAATTGTAAAAAACTGTAGAAATTAAAAAAATATATATATATATGCACATTTTTTTTTTTTACTTTAATTGCATGAAGGCTAGTAACAAACAAAAGATAAAAGAATAGTAATAAGACTTGCATGACAGAAAGGATGGTGTTTCATGTTTAAATCACAAAATTCAATATTTTGTTCATATACATTTTTGCCATGGACTTTTTATTATTTCACGTGATGCGGTGCTTCTGGTTTTGGGGCTATTTAAAAGTGATGATCAGGTATTTTTTTTATAAAGGAATTCATACATGTACACTGCTTAATTTCAAATATTTTCGCAAAGCAAATCATGCTCCTCTGATTGACGTTGCAAGTTGGCTCCAAGAACCCAATGATGGACTGTTTGGTGAATAAATATCTCTTAGTATTACTTTTAGAACTGCTTAAAGAGTCACTCAAGGTACCATAACCACTACAACTAACACTTTTAGACAGTGAATTCCATCCAATGACAGACACGGTTGATATTGCTAATGCAGAAGTATTTGCTCCCAATATACCTATGAAGAGGGGCCACGTTACCCAAATCCCGTTTGACCTTTATAGAAAGACAGTGCTGGGGATTCCTGCCACCATGCCCACAACAGCCTGTCAAATGTTTTTCTTCTACTTTCCAAAGGCCAGTTAATAACCAAAACTCCTACAGATTTTAACAGTGAGTTAAGAATTTCACCGAAGTTAAAGGATATGTTTTGTAGTCAGAGAATTGATGTATGTGTTGACCTTTCTCTGGAATTCAACGAGTGCTTCACATTTACAGGGATCTTCTTTTTCAACAATTTTCCGAACCTCTTCTGTAATATAAGAACAGGACATGTTTGTTAAAATTGTCATTGTCATTTGTAAGTGAAAGTCAGGAATGCTTGCGAGATGAGTAAAGTCATATGCACACTCATTGTTTTTTAACATAATGACCGTTTCAACAAGTTGCAAAAGGAAAAAATATATATTCTTATATTCTTTGTTAAATTAAGCAAATGCAAAAAAAAAAGAAAATGAGAAACTCCTCCCTACCATTTGTATAAGACAGGCTACTTCAGCCATAAACAAACATACACCTTGGGTCAGCCAGTATTGGATTTTAAAGTAACTTGGTCTGATAATGTCACTTTACTGTGCACTGAGCACTCTTTCCCCATCTTCTACCACCCCCACCCCCGAATTTCAAATTGGCGTGCTGCTGCTCCCTTACTTCTCTGTTTCTCTCCTCTTTCCTTTACTTTTCTCCTTTCCCTTAATCTTTACCTCACCATTCTCGTCACTATACCATTTAACAGCAGGCTTATCCCACCAACACAGAGGCATGAGTAAAACTTGCCACTATTGCAAGCCTTCACTGGGTTAAATCTATACTCTTACATGAGTTGCTTTCAGAAATGTTATTTAAATTGTATTTTTTTTTGTTTGTTTCAAAGCACATGAAGTATCCCTTCTCTGCCTGTCTGTGAGGGCATGGATTGGCAGCTATCAAGCCACCACAGGAGAGGACCGATGAGCAAAGTGTAGGTTTGAGCCAGTCACACTGTCAGACGTAAAAGAGTTGTATCATTTTGGGGAACAAGAAGGACATCATAGAGAAAACTGCTTTGTGACTGTTCAGAGTAAGGATGAAAGCATGGAGAGAACATGTGAGCTTAGTTTAAAAGGTATGCATGCAATGGAAACATGACATGAACCATGGTAGTTACACGTCATCTCAACTCACAAAGTGCATTTGTGATTGATTGACATGTGTCAAAGCTGTAACCATTGTGTTCCATAGCTGTGAAACAACACCACTAATTTACCTTTACGTGAACATGTCTTCTTGTCTGGATTCAGTTTGTAGCCATCGTGACACTTGCAATAATAGGATGCATCAGTTGCTACACATGTATGCTCACAATCATGTCTTCCCGGCGCACAAAAGTCTATGCCTGTTATGGAATTAAATAATAAAGGAAACATGAATGTAAAAGGTCTCTCTCTGCTGTAGATGATCTGCACAATTTTATATAGTAACATGTGTTCTTAATTAAACTTTCTCATAGATCTACCATCTATCTCATGTTCTCAGTGGGCTGCATGGTAAAGATGTTTGGCTTCTCCAATGTACACAGGGCAGTATGGAAAAGATGTAGGTCACATAAATGTATATTACATAAATGCTAATTATTGTGTAAGCTGCAATGTTAGTGGACATTTCATTCCAGCCATGAGATACATGTTGTGCCAGGACACAAAAAGCCAAACCAATCTGCATCCGGTACAATAAATAATTATACATAAATTAATAAAAACAGAACCAGATCATAATCAGAGATAGCAGAGATAAAGCAAAGAAGCAGCTGCTCAATAAGTCACATGTAAAGCACTTGCTTATGGGTATGGGGTGCAGGGCCAACATTTTTGGGGTACAGCTAATACACAATTAATAGGCTCGACCGTGCTCTGGTGCCTGCATGAGTTACTCTGAAGTGACATGGTTTGGTTAATGAGATACAAATCTCTCCTAACCAGCCTACATTGTGCTTTGGCAGAGGATCGGATTCGCCTTGTAGTGACAGCCCCCATCCTCCTCGTGACTGACAGCATTGGGAAGAAATGATGTCAGATCATTTCCTCGCAGAGCTTTAAGGAAGCCATGTAAATGGTTTATAGCCTTAAGCTTGCAACCCACAGCACAGATACAAACAAAGCTAGATATAAATTATTTTGTGTGTGAGCATGGAAATTGTGTGTTTAATGGTGGATATGTACATTTGGCATTATGTTTGTCTGGCATTGAGGCATGATCAGTGTAGTTTTTGTTTATTATGTTATGATATACCATTGTAGTTATAGGTCGATAAAAACGTACCACACAGTGTCTCCTTAAACTTGGATGTCAGCTTTTCAATGACACCGTAAGTCTCCACATAAAAGACATGATCATCTAAAGGTTCACTGGCCATAAGCTTAAGAGACTGCATATCTGCCCTGTCCACTCCAACAGCATACATCTCTATCCCCGCAGCCCGTGCTCTCACAGAAATGTCCTGGACTTTGTCTTGAGGTCGTCCATCCGTTACAATAAAGGCAACTTTTGGAATGTTGAGCGATGGGTGGCGTGCTCCTGATGCTTCAGTAAACGCCTCTTCAAGAGCAGTCTGTATAGCAAGTCCGGTCATGGTGCCTGTAGACAGAGGGCTGATCTTAGAAATAGCAATTTTCATTGCTGCTTTAGCGAAATATGTCTTGAGGAAGAATTCTATTTTCACAGTGCTGGCATAATTTACCACGGCCACGCGAGTGGCTTTCTCGCCCATGTCAATTGTGTCAATCATGTTAGACAGAAAAACCTTGACCTTCTCAAACTCCTGAGGACGGACACTGCGGGAACTGTCAATGATAAACACCAGGTCCATAGGTCGACTCTTGCAGGCTGTGTCTGTGAAGATAGCAGTGGGAATTAACTCACTATATACATATAGGAGTCATTTTTATGACAATTCAAACGCAATGATAATTATTATACAAACATGTGGTAAGTAGTACAAATTCAAAAGAAACAACCAAATACTTCACAAAAGTCCACAGTGGATTAGTGGCACCTGCGTGGCAATGGATAACAGTTTATCATACAACCAAAATTCTTGGAGGTTCCTGAGTTTTTGATTTCCTTCAATCTCCTTCAGAGAGGTAAGCAATGCATCAGAAATTAGCATAACAAAAGGAGTTGCAAATGAAACTAATTCCGGTAGCAGGTGTTGAAATGAGTATAAGTTCAACAAACCTAGGTGTTATTTTCATTAACCACTGTGTCAGACCCTCTTTTGTTGGCCCACCGCCTAATATTCTCAAGCTTTACCAAGGCTCAGCCCTTGGAGTAAAGGAAACAGCATCAGTCAAAAGTACTAAGACGGAATATCTGCACTGCCATCACTGCAGCCAGGAAACTGGCTGGCACATGGATACATGGAGACCAGCTGGCTCACCACCTAACCTAGTGTTCTTGAGTCTCACTGAGGCTCAGCTGGTAAAGTGAAGGAAACAGCATGCATCAGAAATACTAAGACGAAATCTCTGGACTGCCGTTGCAGCAGCCAGGAAGCTGGCCAGGTTATGGGGACCAGGAGACCAGTTGGCCCGCTGGGGTTCTAGACCCCCACCCTGACTCAGCTGGTGGAAAGACAAAGTAAGTTAACATCATGAATGCTAAGATAGAATCTGGTCTGAATGATCCTGTACTGAATGGGGGGAAACCGTCTTGTTATGTATGGGGCCAACTAGACTGTTAAATCTTTACATCATTCACTGTATAACAATGTCTGGATTTTGGAGTTCTAGCTATGAATGAGCCAAAATTGCATCCAGATTTCAGCCAGATTTACTAGCTAGCCACCATATACAAAGTGGGGGAAAATACATCCCATTCTCTACCCATCTCCCATGCTACAGGAGGAGGCACATCTGCTTTAAAATGGGCAGTCAGTTGCGGTATGTTGAGTCTGTAAAATATAAACTGGAGGGGGGTCACTAAGGTGGCCTTTTTTGAGGCTGAAGAAAAGATAATTAAAGATGGAAATTCTGAAGCTAATTCTAATTTTCCTATCTGCACTGCAGTTCAAGGAAGGGTTACGGACAACAGTAACAATTTGATTCTAAATGGATATTGGTGGGGAGTGTTCCTTTAACCATGTAAACTGGATGGGCACCAGGTTTATAATCATTTTATTGTGTGTAACAATAATAGAAACATAGAAACAACATATTAATTCCCTCTGTCAGATAAAAAGAATGTGCAAGTCCTGGTATCACGTTACACCGGTATTACTAATCCTATTCTCACGGATGGACACAAATTTGACACATGTCTTCATGTGTTAGTCACTTCTTCTGACTGTTTAGATATTTATCTGTTTAAGGGAGGAGTAATCAATAACGAGATCATCGGACATCCACGAATGAAAGGATGAGTAAAAATATCCCTAAATAAACCACTCCTTGGACCAAATTAGAAAAGTGAAAGCTCTCCTGTATTTATTACAGTAAAGTAAGACCTGGAGCACCTGTTATCCAGACAATTCCTAATGTGTCGCAGGACTCATACTATTAAATGGTCTTTATTTTACCAAACAGTTAAACAGGGCATAGAAATCCCACCCCAATGATTTAACCATATTCATGCCATATCATGTTCAAAATATAGGGCCTGGGGCTGAGCACATTATAAGAAATTGTATTATTTGCGCCGTAGTTGCTACTGAAGTTGATATGCATTTTATATAAGGCAAACTAACTGAGGACTATGTCCACTAACCCCCGAAGTTACCAGTGTAATCAAAGCCACATTTTTACTAACTGATCAGCTTTTTTTCCCAAAATGACAAGCCACACAACAACAAGGAAACTCGTGCAACAGTCATTGGAAAAAAAACATGTATGCATAAAAACATCAAATGTAGAAATGTGACAACTCCCCTTTAAGAAGATTTAGAGACATTGTGATTCTAAAAATTAAGTTCAGTTTATACAAAACAGCGAATATATGACAATATATATATGTTCACAAACATACCTGCTTTTACTTTTTATTTAATGATCCAGTTTGTCTGCATTTTTCTGACAGACAGGGAGCTTCCATTAGTTTATTGTCATGTAGCCATGATATCAGTTTTAGTTAGATTCTGTAAAATACCCGGCGGCCAATCAGAATGCAGCGGCCAATCAAATGTTTAGTTATATGAAATGAATTATTTTATATTTCTTATACGCTAACAAAAACGAATTGTAATACTTTACATGAAATAAACATAACGTATCTTAAAATTCACAAAATAACAATGGCCAGCTTTACGTGTCAGGTGCTTGCCGGCAAAGAAATTTCAGGCTGCATCCCCCCCTCCCCAATAATACATTGTATTCAGAATGAGGTCAGCAGTATCTTAGTGCTGTAATTGAATGCTGTGGGTAAGGCCTGAATATAGTTTGCTGGTTGTGATTTCTGTGTGTAAAACGTTGTTTGCAGGGTGCGAATGCTATGTGCAAGCTTTAGATATTGTGTATGAGACCTGTACACAGCAAAAACAAACTGGCTCGACAAAACAATTTGTCAGGGAAATTTTTTTAAGACAAACCGAATTTCTTCCATGTGGTGTTTCAGAGTTGCGGAATTCAGATGAATCAGTGAACACCCAGAATTACATTGCAATTCATTTGAAACAAGTCTTCTGTGTAAGGGTGGGATTGCTGCATGCTCTCAATGAGAAGCATTGGGTTGGCCGAAGATTATCATCACTGATGATGTAAGAGCAGGCGGAACAGCTGCTGCAGTAATACTAAGAGGTAATATCCTTTAGACTTGCTACGGAAGCCCATTTTGTAATTTGTAATGAAGTTGTTATGGTGCCAGAAGGTCCCTGGTGCTTGCTTACCGTGAGGGGTTTAACCATTTCAGAGCGCTTTAACCCCAAATTTGTTTTTTCAGTGTCATTCCACGCTGTCCCTGTCCACATCTGGTTTCACAAAATCAGTAAGTCACGGACTGCCAGCGGGACAGGAGCGCTGTTGATTGGCTTAGAGGGGTCAGCTGATGCTCTAAGGTAATCAGTAGCTCTCCACCTTTTTTTTTTTATAAATGAGGAGCTACTGACTGGCTTAGAGCATTAGTTCTCATGAATTATTACTTAATTTTGGACAAGTAGCGATTTATCTGAAACACCATATGGAAAAAATTTGGTTTGTTAAAACCAAAATTGTTTCCAGATGAATCGATTAGGGCGAGCCAAAATGTTTGCCACACACAGGTGTTATATAGTCATATTTTATACACAGAATTTCACAGACCAGACGTGGACAGGGACAGAGGAATGGTGCTGGAGATCCAATTTTGGGGTTTAACCATTCATGATTCATGGTTTAACTACTAATGGTAATGAAGCGCCAGGATCCTCCTGGCACCATAACAACTTAATTTTGAAGTTATGTGCCCAAACTGTTACCTTAAAAGAACACTCCAGACTCCTAAAGCATTTTAGTTTGCTGAAAAGCGTTATGTGTGAAAAGTGTGTCCTATTTTTTTTTCCATTTTACAAAGTGCAGATTTCAATAGAAAGAGATGCTTTTATAAAATATAATATACTGGTTACGCCCCCTGACTTTTCAAGCAGACAACAGATACTGTTACTTCCTGGTTTGGTTAGTTTATTTGCACTGAACTCTTGCACAATTATTGCCCAGAGCACCTGCCTTGCAAAGACTTCTAATTGAGCTGCATTGGGAAGTCTGTGATTAAACAGTCACAAAGTCTGGGCGGGGTTAGAAGGGGAGGGCTTGCAAAGGCAGCAGACAAGAGAACTGCAGGTTTTGCAAGCAGTTTTTTAGATATACTCCACCAAAAATCCATAATTAAATGCATACAAGTTTTAATTTGGGTATATCTACTAAACAGTGATTTTTATTTATTTTGTATTTGGGCAGTGGACTGTCCCTTTTATTTATTTATTTAAAAATTGTATATTTCATAGTGGTATTCAAATGGCCTTGGGGAACCATGATTGATTGGAACATGTGTTATCTAAATTATTAAAAAAATATCAGTCTCAAATTTGGAAGATTTTTGAATACACAGCAAATAAATAAGTGGGGCAAAGTTTTAAAAATGTGGCAATCACCATGGAAACCATGCATTGTTCCTACTGATACAATTGGTTTCCTGGGAGATCACATTTTGAATTTTTCTCCACTTTTCAAATAGCTCCACTTTCAAAAGTGGTCAAAAGTTGACTTCCATGGAACTCCCGAACCACCAAACCGATCTGGGTGTATTTTTGGATATGTTGGCTATCTGAGGATGTGACTCTTTGTAAAATGTGTGTTTGTTTGTAAAATGTGTGTTTTCTGTGCCTAGAGATAATTGAATTTGTACAGTTCCTGACTCAATTATCTCTCAGGCACAGGGGAGGGATTACCCTGTTGTTTTGTGTGGGAGACCCCTGGTAGGGGATATTGTATAAAAGCAGGCTATCTGGTCAGATGAAAGCATTCCAGTTTGTACTCCCAGAACTATGTGTTGTCTGGTTACTGGGAGGGGAAAGGGCTAATCGATGTTCTAGCTTGTTCCAGTGTGGAGGATTCTGCTGGGAAAGTCCTTGTAAGACTAGAGCTCCCAAGACTGAGTGTCGTCCAGTCCCTGGGAGTGGATAGAGCTAGTCCGATTCGTTTCCATGATGGAGAGGCTCCAGGACCCCAGTCAAGCCACGGCGATTGGGGGCAGAAGCACTGGGATTTTTCCCTTGTTCCAGCTAGGAAGCGGTCCTTGGTGAATGTACCCAGCCGGGGTACAGGAAGCTTTGTTACAGTGTGCATGTGGGTGTGTGTGTCAGGTTGTGCATCTGTGTGTGTATATATGTCAGTGTGCTTCTGTGTCAGTGTTTGTCTGTGTGTGCGCACACATCTGTGTGTCAGGATATGCATCTGTGTATTATTGTGTGTGTTTTTATGTCAGTGTGTGTATCTGTATCATGATGTGTGCGTCAGGGTGCGTGTGTGTATGTGTTGGTGTATGCATGTGTTAAGGTATGTTTTAGTGTGTGCATATGTCGGTGTGTATCCATGTGTGTATGTGTCGGTGTCTATATAAATTTGTGTGTATGTATATCTATGTAAGTTTGTATGTGGTAGTGTATGTGCATACATACAAGCAGTGATACATCAGCACAACATACAAACACACTCTGGCAATCTAACACAAATATTACAAACACACAGCCCTGCATTCAAACTCCAAAAGGTTATACAAACACACCCCTTCAATCAAACATAAATACTTCACAGTAATGTACACCTGCATTTAAAAGTGAACATTACATTCAAACACACCCCTCCAATCAAATGCAAACATTACAAACACACCCCTATATTAAAACACTAAAACTATATACAAGCACCCCCTTCAAACACCAACACTGTGCATTACACTATAGCGCCAGTAAATGCCGCAGCGCTGTACAGATATACAGCCTAGAATTTTTAAATTAGGGTGCCTTGAAAAAATATTGAAATTACATAGTTACATGGTTACATATCTGAAAAGAGACTTGCGTCCATCAAGTTCAGCCTTCCTCACATATGTGTTTGCTGTTGATCCAAAAGAAGGCAAAAAACCTAGTCTGAAGCGCTTCCAATTTTGCCACAAACTAGGAAAAAATTCCTTCTTGGTCCCAAAATAACACTCAGATATCTCCTTGGATCAAGCAGCTATTAACCCACTAATTAAATATTAACCCCTTAAGGACACAACTTCTGGAATAAAAGGGAGTCATGATGGAATATTTCCGTCATGTGTCCTTAAGGGGTTAAGGGCGCCTTGAACCTAAAAAGTTTGGGAACCACTGGATTAGCCTAATCTACCCTACACCACCATCCAACTATCTGGAATGTCGAAGGTCGCAGACCCCTGGAATAATAATGGAAATGTTAAAATAGGGAATTATTCACTAACTAGTGAGTGAGTGTGAATGTATAACCATATTTTATCAATTCAAAGTTTTGAATATGATTTGGAAAAATTTATTTTGAGTATTTTGGAATTTTGTTTGGAGTATTTTGGATTATAATTAGCAAATCATATTTTAAATTCATGAAATTTCTTTAAAAAAAAACACAGGGCTATTCACGTCACTGTGAATTGTCCAGAAATGGGATTGCAAACTTAAAGGACCACTATAGTGCCAGGAAAACATACTAGTTTTCCTGGCACTATAGTGCCCTGAGGGTGCCCCCACCCTCAGGGTCCCCCTCCCGCCCGGCTCTGGAAGGGGGAAAGGGGTTAAAACTTACCTTTTTCCAGCGCTGGGCGGGGAGCTTTCCTCCTCCGATCCTCCTCTTCTCCTCCCCATCGGCTGAATGCGCACGCGCAGCAAGAGCTGCGCGCGCATTCAGCCGGTCACATAGGAAAGCATTCATAATGCTTTCCTATGGACGCTGGCGTGCTCTCACTGTTAAAATCACAGTGAGAAGCACGCAAGCGCCTCTAGTGGCTGTCAATGAGACAGCCGCTAGAGGAAATAGGGGAAGGCTTAACCCATTCATAAACATAGCAGTTTCTCTGAAACTGCTATGTTTATGAAAAAATGGGTTAAGCCTAGCTGGACCTGGCACCCAGACCACTTCATTAAGCTGAAGTGGTCAGGGTGCCTAGAGTGGTCCTTTAAGATGAAAATAGCTGAGCTGAAAACATAAAGGACTTTTTTTTTTCTTATTTAGCTTAAAATTCTAAAGTTGGTGAATTCCCCAAATTTCAGGTTTAGTGAAGAACTGTGTCATCACCATGATGCAGGAACAATAATATCAGTCATCTTTCTTTCCGCTTATAGATAAAACAGTTGGAAACCAGAAACTGTTTGGTCTGTGATCATTACTACAGAATTCTAAAACATTTTTTGTGGTATATTCTGAAGGTGTATTAAGGTATTCCTCTATAAACAGAACTATTCTCACAAGGATATAAGTATCTCGACATAAGAGCTAGCACTATTTAAGAAAGTATGTTACGAAAATCGATAAAATAATAATATGCCACATCCTAATCGCAGCTACTTCATATCTACCTCGATACTGGAAGTCTAAAACTTTACCTACACGTAAATACATTTTGATCATGGTTTTAGATAGTAAAGCAAACGAAATGTCTTATAGAAAAAATACACATTTTTTTGCAAATTTCCATATTTTGGTTAAATGGGAAGAAGACATTAAAAAAATCTTACTGCTCAACATACTTGTGATAAATGGGAAGAAGATATTAATAAACATACTGCTTATAGAATATATCTTTTGTTAAGCTCGACGATGTATAACTTATGTTTTGTACAATATTTCACATGATAACTACTATGGATGGACCCCCCCTTTCCCATTTCCAAGTTTCCCTTCCCCGAATAGTATGTTTGCCTATTCGTTATTATTTTTTGTGAAAAACATTATAACTTTAATAAAATTATTTTAAAAGGCCTATTCTCATCTCGAGGGGGTGTCAAATTATTCAACAAATTATTGAAATGGCGGAGATATACTCTTAAATAACTATAATAAAATGGTCCCTTTAGTTTCCCTTTAATCTAAAAGTCAAGTGACCTTTGTCATCAGAACAATGTAGCCCTTGGGATTTGCACTGACACATAGAATGTCTCATTGATTCTAAACCGTGGGACTGTATACAGCTGCAGATAGTACGGATACAGAATTCTATTGATACCTTGAGTTCCAGATATATTTAAACCTTCAAAATAGTGGCAGTTTTTATTCCCGAAGAATATATTTAGTGCAGATTCAGAGAAAGACAGTGACCATTGTAGGAGGGAATAACACACTAGATACATTACAAAGAAATAACTCATATCTAATTAATACAAAGAAGAATATAATTGTCAGAGTTTGATTTCCAAGAATTAAAACTGATTTGTTTTTTTGTTTTTTAAAGAAGCCAAACTGCTAAAAAAATCTCCAAGTCAGATAGGTTTAAGATTTAAAATTTTCGATGAATTCACTTTGAATTCCCGATTATTCACAGTGTATTGAATAAACCTGTTGGGTTTATTTACTAAAATTGTAGTAAATTAAGATTGAAATGGCAAAACATATGTGAAAAAAAAAGTTTATCTGGAAAAATTCAACAACTCAGCGTTAGTCACAGCTCAGCTATATTATCCTATATTTTGCCATCTGGATTTCGGTTTGCTACAATTCAGAGTTTAGCGAATACGCCCCTGAATGTTAAAAGGGAAACGAATGGGTCCTATTTACTAAACAGTGAGATGTGACAATGCTGAAAAGCCGCTGGCAACATTTAGAGCAAACTGACCAAGTTGCAAATACACCTCCAATTTCTCTGAAGATTCCATCAAACACTTGTTTAGAAAAAAGACCTATAGTCATATATTGGGAGGCTTTTTGAACTCGATCCTAATAAGTCAGAGAAATGAACACAGGAGAACATGCAGTTTTGTAACACTGTAAGTAATAAAATAAATAAGAACCAATCATCATGTACCATCATAAATAATAATATAAATAAGGACCAGCCAACGTGAAAACCAATAGAATGTCTCTCAACATTTAGCACTTTGCACCCAAAACACCTGGTTTGCCTTAATGAATTCCCCCCCTCATGTGGCGTTGGATCATCAACCACAGAGGTTTGCCGCGTGTTGCACACAAAGGGTTAAAGTGATCCTACCTGTTGGCGGTTGGACAGGGATGGTTCTAGGCTCTGGCTTATGACGAGGACTGGCTATGTAGGGTGGGCTGGCTAGCACGCTAGGTCTTGACACTGGCAACACAGCACTGCCATGAACCATTGGAGGAAAAATGTATCTTCTTTGAGGTTGGAATCCATATATCCTGTAATGAGTCCCGTGGACGGCTGCCAGTAATAGGCTAGAGAGGTACAGGACCACTTTGCTCATAAGCTGCTTCATGCTGGAGTGTTGTGTGTTAGCTGGTGAAATTACACACAGGAGGACAGGCACTGTAGCTTTCAAAGTATCTACAAAGACATATAGTGTATGGAAAGTACAGAGCCGCCTTCTAAGTGTCCTGTAACCCAGCACTGAGTTCCAGAAATCCCACCCACCTGCTCACACTCTGCATACTGACACAGACACATCCCAGGGATTCCAATATAAGGATACATTGTTATCAGGGGTCCCATATTCATACATTTAAAAAAAAAAAAAGATATGTTTGCATCATCGCCCCTTATTCATGTATACAAACACACACCCACGCTCAAACATTAAGTCAAACACACTTATTTTTGTTCTTACAGTTAGTTATACAGTCATACAGCCATAATCAGAAGCTCACCTTCATTTACAAATACCTGAATACACATACCATCACAACAGTCCTCGAATATCGCTGTTTACATTTATTTGCCCCAAATGCTATTTTCTATATTCTTGTACATTTTGTATGAGGGATAGACATGTGCAATTCGTTTCGGGCCAAATATGAATTTGGACGAATTTCGGGCAATTCGGACATTCAGATACTTCAGAATGTCCGAATAGCTGAAGTGCCGAAGTTCCGAAGTGCCAAAGTTCAGAAGTAGTAATATACTTACCCAGTGGAAGAACAAGAATGTTACACTGTATACAATTTTAAATAAAAAGTATACAAACGTAGCCAGGATTCAGCTGTAAGCATTTGCAACACTTACAAAAATCAAGTAACACACATTTATATAAAATGTAAGTTACTTAGCCAGTCAATGTAATGACAGGAATGAATAAGTAGATAACTCCCTAATTCCCACAGTATTAGGGAGCTATCTACTAAAAGGCTGAAAGACCTGACTTGGTCTTTCAGCCAAATTTACTAATACGAATTAAAAATTACTTAGTATTAGTAAATTATGCCCCTACTCGCTATACCGTGAGTAGGGGCATGTCTATTAAACAGTGATCAGCCTGTGGAAGCTCACTGTAAAAAACAAACAAACAAAAAAACACGACCCCCCTCCCCCTCCTAACCTGAAGGGGGGACCTATTGCCCCCCCTGGTCCCCACCCCTGAATGGTGGGTGGGGGCCCTAAAGTAAAATAAGGGGGGGCCTATTGTCCTCCCCCTGGCCCCCACCCATTAGCGGTGGGTGGGGGCCCTAAAGTAAAGTAACGGGGGGGGGACCTATTGTGCTCCACCCTGGCCCCTACCCCTGAGCGGCGGGTAGGGGCCATAAATCCGAATAAGGTGGGGACCTAATGTCCTCCTCCCGGCCCCCACCCCTGAGCGGTGGGTGGGGGCCCTAAATACTAATTAGGGGCTGAAAAAAGAAGATTTTAGAAGAAAGAAAACATCAAATGGAAAGTTTTATTTATTTTTTTCAGGTACTTTAAATGGTCCCCCCCCTCATTATTTTTAGGGTGGGGGGTAGGTAGGGGTTAATTTTTTGGGGGAGGGGTGTGACTAGGGATTTGGGGACCCCTAGTCACCCGGGGGAGGGGGGGTTAATTTTTTTATTTAGGGCCCCCACCTGCGCTCAGGGGTGGGGGCCAGGGGGGAGGACATTAGGTCCCCCCCTAATTAATATTTAGGGCCCCCACCCAGCACTCAGGGGTGGGGGCCAGGACATTAGGTCCCCCCAATTAGTATTTAGGGCCCCCACCCACTGCTCAGGGGTGGGGGCCAGGAGGGAGGACATTATGTCCCCCCCTAATTAGTATTTAGGGTCCCCACCCACCACTCAGGGGTGGGGGCCTGGGGGGAGGACAATATGTCCCCCCCGTTATTTTACTTTAGGGCCCCGATCTGCCGCTCAGGGGTGGGGGCCGGGGGGGTGGCAATAAGTCCATCCCCTTTATTCTAATTTAGGGGCCCCGTCCGCCGCTCAGGGGTGGGGGCTCGGGAGGGCGTACCCTTTTTTTTTATTTTATTTTTTTAACATTGAGCAGCCACAGGCTACTCACTGTTCAATAGACATGCCCCTATTCACGGTATAGCGAGTAGGGGCATAATTTACTAATACTAAGTAATCTTTACTTAGTATTAGTAAATTTGGCTGAAAGACCAATTTAGGTCTTTCAGCCTTTTGGTAGATAGCTCCCTAATACCGTGGGAATTAGGGAGTTATCTACCAAGCGTCTGCAAGAGAAGTTCAGAAATTCCGAAGTTCCTAAGTGTCGACGTGCCAAAGTGCCGAAGTTCTGAAGTTACCGAAATTCGGAAGTGGCGAAAATCCGAAGTGGTTTAGTCCCGAATTTCGGAATGCCGAACCGAACCGAAAATTTTTCCCATTCTCATGCCTAACGAGGGTTGTTGTAGGATTATTTTGTGGGTTGAAGTGATATAAAGAGGAAGACTGAGAGACAAAATGACACCAAAGTGTTGAATTTGTTAATTTTTTTTCAACAAATCTATATTGTATATATAGATATAAGCATATTCCTTCCAATAGCACTTTCTGATCATACCTGAGTTATATACATTCCATCAGGGACCAGGATTTAGGAAATGCCCAATTCTATCTCAGCAGGGTGTCAACTAAAGAATACTTCCAACGCCATAACAACTAACGCTTATTTAAATGATGGGGCAGCAGTGTCTGGGCACCTTTGTAGTTTCAGGGGTAAAACCAGTTAGAACGGTATAACCACGCAGTTGGGGATTTGGTACCTGACCCTTCAGCTTCCCAGCTTCCATTCAACTCTGCTGTGCTGTGCAAGGAAATGTTTGCCACATGGTCACTGAGAGGTTTAACCCCTTAAGGACCAAACTTCTGGAAAAAATGGAATCATGACATGTCACACGTCATGCGTCCTTAAGGGGTTAAAGCATCAGCTGACGCTCAAACCCTATCAACGGGTGTCCATTGAGAAAAATAGTAGGCAAATATTTTTCTCTCAGGTTGTAATGCAGAGTTGCATATACAGATCTGGAGGCAAATCATGTGAAAACAGTTTTTGATAAAAATAAAATCTCCCGTGCAAATTTTACAGTAATTTCGCAGGACAATCCAGATTGTGACTCACACAATCAGGATGAAGAAAAAGGGTTTAATTTTCAATCAAATGTTGACTTCCTTTAGAATATTTATCTCCTGCTTGGTAAATTGAACTTTAATCACACTCAGGAGGCTCCTGCAGGTCCAGAAAGCTATTAACAGGGCAGGAGATAAGAAATTCTAAACTAAACACAATTAGCAATAAAGGACATTTAAATATTAGATTTACAGGAAGTGTTTAGGAAGGCTGTGTAAGTCACATGCAGGGAGGTGTGCCTAGGGCTGTATAAACAAAGTGATTTAACTCCTAAATGGGAGAGAATTGAGCAGTAAGATGGCAGGGGCCTGATCTATAAACCAAAACCGCTTCATTAAGCTGAATTTGCTTTGGTGACCACAGTGTCGCTTTAAGTTTATATAACCTCTGTTCATCCCAGGTTTCAATAGAAAATTACTTTGTAGCAAAGGGTTTTAGTGACACTAAGAAAATAAAATCACTGCAGTTCACAGTTTACATGTTACCATTATATTTATAATAATCATTTTACCTACAAGACTTGAACTTATGCATACACACATTATACTTTGTGGATATGGACTATGCGCCATCTAGTGGTTAATATAGTAATATAGTGGAAATATTAATTTTATTCCAGGAGTCCCTCTTTGCAACCACTTCTGGCTCCAGAATGACTTCATCTCAATTATGTCCTTAATAGGGTCTGGAGGTCCTAGGTGCCGCTTTACTGTATGGGGTTAAACTATAACCACTGCCGCTGCCACCTCATCTTCTGGCCACAGCCAGAATGCAAAAACATTTCCATTTGAGTGCGGGTAATATAGGCTGAGAGCATCAGATAACCCTCTCAGCTTATCACTGGCCACCCATTGACAGGCATGCTTTAGAAAGGTACGGAATGATTTAACCCAATAAGTAAGACAGCACCCAGGATATCCAGGCTCATAACTACGTCACTGAGATGCAGTCATTATGGGGCTGGACTGGTTCTTTAACCCCTTAAGGACACATGACGGAAATATTCCGTCACGATTCCTTTTTATTCCAGAAGTTGTGTCCTTAAGGGGTTAAAGGACCACTCTAGGCACCCAGACCACTTCAGCTTAATGAAGTGGTCTGGGTGCCAGGTCCCTCTAGGATGAACTCTTTTTTTTTTTTTTTTATAAACATAGCAGTTTCAGAGAAACTGCTATGTTTATAAATGGGTTAATCCAGCCTCTAAAGCCTCTAGTGGCTGTATCATTGACAGCCACTAGAGGCGCTTGCATGCTTCTCACTGTGAAAATCACAATTTTCACATTTATGAATGCTTTCCTATGAGACTGGCTGAATGTGCGCGCAGCTCCTGCCGCGTATGCGCATTCAGCCGAAGAGGAGGAGAAGAGGCAGAGAGGAGGCGGAGAGATCCCCGCTCGGTGCTGGAAAAAAAGGTAAGATTTACACCTTTCCTCTCCCCAGAGCCGGGCGGGAGGGGGTCCCTGAGGGTGTGGGCACCCTCAGGGCACTATAGTGCCAGGAAAACGAGTATGTTTTCCTGGCACTATAGTGGTCCTTTAATTTTGAGTTTTAGAATTCAATCAATAGTACAGGCAGGGGGACTATTTAAACACAGAACTCTGCTGTAGCCTAATGACAGGAACATGTTGTGAATAAAAATGTCAGAAGGGGAAGAGACAAGACCAAGAAGTGGCCGCAATTAGAGCATTCTGAATTAGTAGCACTTACTGTTATATTCTGTAAGTTTTAGGGGAAGAGGTTTTTTTGTTGGTTTTTTTTAGAACTACATTTCTGACTGTACGAGAAGTGTATTCAGAGTAGACACTGATTTGTGGTGAACAGAAAATTCGCTATGTTTGCCTATATTGTGAAATGCATTATTTAAATTTCCTGCAAATCAGTGTTTAATAAAATAAAATAAATAAAAAAGTTCTCTCCATCCTAATTCAAACTAATGAAGGCAAAACTATAACTTTAATTTGGAGATTTTTTCTAATGTGGTTATTTGAGCTAGAATGTTTAATTCATCAGATGTTTGCCAATTATTTACGGAAAAATTTAAGGAAACGCTATTTAGATTCAACAATAAACCAAGATGCGTGGACATCTGA